GGAAGAGATGATGTCACCTGAGCTGAACTTTGAATGAAGATATGGCTTCTGAGAAGCAGCAATGGAGGGGGGGTGCATTTCAGGTATGAGAGGTAGCTGTTACAAAGGAATAGAGAAGTGAGATAGAGTGTTGCATGTAAGGAAGAGAGAAAAGGTCAATTTGGTGTTACCATAGAACACAAGAGAAATAATATGTAAGTGAGGTTGGAAATATAGGTTGGGGCCAGATTGTGAAACGCCTTAAAAAACCAAAGTAGTTCATGTTTTATCTTGGACAGAAAAGAGAATCATTTGGAGCTTATGGAGTCAGGTGTAAGCATTGTAAAGTATGGCTGTATTTAAAGGATAGTATATAATGGCAAGGTTGGATTTATGCTAGGGTACAGTTGGTTGGTTCAATCCTAAGAAGTCTATAAACATATTAATAACAAAGATATTGATCGTATTCATAATCAAAAAATCACATTAATAGCAGACAATAAAAATCATATGTCGATAGTTAAACAAAATTATTTTGACAAAGTGTGCCAGCCATTTACCTTAAAAGTATTTTCATGTAGAAGTAAATGGATCCTTTGTTAATATAAAACAGCTAGGTGGCACAGTAGGTAAAGTGCTAGGCCTGGAGTCAGAAAAACTCCTCTTCAGAGTTCACATCCAGCCTCAGATACTTACTAGATATGTAGCCCTGGGCAAGTCACTTAACCCTGTTTGTCTCAGTTCATCAGCTGTAAAATGAGTTGGAGAAGGAAATGGCAAACTACTCCTGTATCCTTGCCAAGAAAACCCCAAGTGGGATCATGAAGAGTCAGACCAAACTGAAAAATGACTCAATGGCACTGTTAATATGGTAAACAGTATCTGTCTAAAATAAAGAGTCAGTGTAATGCTATAAGGCATCTTTCAATAAGATGAAGATAAAGCAAGAATGTCCATTAACACCACTATTATTTGATATAGCAATAAAAAAAGAAATTCAAGAAACAAGCATAGGCAAAGACTGAACAAAATTATTGCTTTTTGCAGATAATCTAATAGTTTACTGAGAGATTCAGCCAAAAAATCAATTGAAACAATAAAATAAAGAAGCAGGATATAAAATAAACATATAAAAGTTATGAGCATTTCTATATATTATTAACAGAAAGCCAGCAGGAAGAAATTGCTTTCAAGATGACTACAGAATGTATGAAATACTTTGGAATCCACCTACCAAAACATATGGGAATTATATGAATAAAGCTACAAAACATTCTGCATAATGGCAGAATTAAATAATTGATTCGTGCTTGTATAATAAAAAGGAAAATACTACCTAAATTGACTTACAGATTCATTGCCATACCAACTTCCACGTGAGTGACTTTATACAACTAGACAAAATAATAACAAAATTCACCTGGCAGAGCTAAAAGTCAAGAATCTCAAGGGAAATAAAGGGGAGAGAAGGGAGGAATAGGAAGGATGGAGGCCCTGCAGTACTAGATATTACCATACACTATAGCAGTAATCATCCAAAATTGAACTTTGTGTTCAATTTAAAAAATAGAAAAGTAGATCAATGGAAACAGATTAGGTGCATGAGACCCAGAAACAATCAAATATAGTAGCGTAGTGTTTGATCGACTCAGCTACTCCAGATAGTCCTATGTTACAGAAACTGCTGGGAACGCTGAAGAGGAATCTGGCCAGAAATTAGGTTTTGACCAGCATTTCAAATCATGTACCACAATAAGCTTCACAGAGACAGGTGACCTAGATGTTGATAATAGCTAGCATTATGTAGTGCCTGCTCCGTGCTGGGCACTGTGCTGAGCACTTTACAAATATCATCTGATTTGATCCTTGCAATAACCCTGGAAGTAGGTGCTGTGAAACTGGAGCAGACAGGTTGACTGCTCGGGGTCACTCAGCTAGTCAGTGTCTAATGTGAAAGATCATATTATAAACAAAGGAACAGAAAAAGAAATACTTTTCACAAATATGGTAAGGGAGGGATCACAGGAGACAGAATGGACAATTTTAATTACATAAAACTGAAAAGTTTTTGCAAAAGCAAAATTGTTAGAATTAAAAGCAAAAGTTAACTGGGAGAAAAATCTTTGCATCACATTTCTCTGGTTGATATAAATATAAAGAACAAGAACAATTCCCCAATCAGTAAATGGTCAAAGGAAATTAATAAGCAGTTCTCAAAAGAAGAAATGCAAGCTGTTAACAATCGTATCACTAATAATAATAAGATAAATTCAGATTAAAATAGCTCAGAGGTTATACCTTTCGTCCACTTGATTGACAAAAATCACAAAGTTGGGAAATTATTTTTGGAGCCACTGTGGGAGGCTATGGGAGGACAGGTGCACTAATACTGGTAGAGTCTAAATTGATCAAGTTGTTCTAAAAAGCAATTTAAAGCTGTACCTGAAACATCATGAAATTGTGCATACATAATATCAGCTGACTCAGCAGTTTTATTATTAGGCATATAATCCCAAAAAGATAAAAGAAAGAGGAAATGGACCCATGTGCACAAAAATATTTATATAACAGCATTTTTTGTGGTAACAACAAACTGGAAACAAAATGGATAACCATCAAAGGATGACTGAACAAATTGTGATTTAAGGATATAATTTAATAATATACCAAAAGAAATTATGAAAAACAAAAGATCCAGAGAAACCTCAAAAGACTTAAGGAACTGATCTAGACTGAAGTGAACAGAACCCATAAAAGATTTGACAGTGACTACAGTGTAAAATGCAATAGTAAAGGAAACAGTGAAAAAGAAAACAACTATGAAAACTTAAAAATAGTGATCAGTGCAATGACCAGTCACAACTCCAGAAGACTAATAATGAATCATGCTTCACACCTCCTGGCAGAGAGGTAATGGACTAAAGGGGCCAAGAAAAGAGCTTTTATTTTGTGGGGAGAGGTAGGAGAAGCATGAAAGAAATGATTGTGATACACCCAAAAAGGAAGGAAGGGCATCAGCGAAACATTTTTAAAAACACACAGAGGAGCTCAGAAGGGGACATAGACAAGCAAGGTATTATTGGGCCTACTGACTTAAATTTAATATGTGCCTTTAAAAAGCAGCAAGCTATACGAATAGAGAAATTTTATTTATGTTTTTCAAGTTCATAATTAAAAATTTTTTTCTTAAAATTTTGGGGACAAAGTGATTAGAAGTCATGGTGGGGGCAAATAACAGTTTTAAAATAGGCTTAAGAGGAATATGACATAGGGAGAAATGAATTGAGAGGAGGTTATAATCAAATAGCAGAATGTCAGAGGTTTTCATTATGGAAATGGAATGCTTATGGGTAATGGTGAGACTGGTAGGCAGAGGTGTATTGGAGGAGTACATGTGAGATTTGAGAACATTGATAGAAGTTAGAGTATGTGAGGGAGCATCAGTATGAATGTTGTTATAAATTCTGGTATTTTTTTAGAAGTCTCATTTACAAAGTAATTTTATAATATGTATAACAATTGAAATTTTATAAATCCCTCTTTTATGAAGGGAAACATTTTTCTTGATTTTTTTCCCTCAAAATGTATATGTGAACAAAAGTACAAGCAAATACAGAATACAAGCACAGAGCAAATATTAGAATCTATTGTATTTTCATTGCTACTCCTCTGGTCAGAGATGACACCATTGATTGCGTTATTGCTAAATGACAATGATAGAATTGAATTATACGTGCGGAGGAAACTAATTTTGAGATTCTGAAATGAGAAATAATTGAGTTTTGTAACTTTTAGATTTAAAACGCAAATGAACTTCATGGTAAGTGTTTTAACATGGACATAAACTTGGAAGGTTTATTGTGAAAATAAAATGGCAGAATCATAGAATCTTAGAGCAGGCTGTGTTCGCGGTGCTATGAAAATACAAATCACTAAATATTTCAGTTAAGGTATTTTGAGTATCAGTCCGTGGCAGGTTAGCTGCCAAAGATAAAAAGTAAGATAAAACAAAAACATTATGATTTGTAGACTTACGTACAAATTAGCGTAAGGTATATGCACTGAGGACAAAACTATAATGAGGCTTCAGTAGTTAGAAGTGATGTGCAGCTTCATTAATGAAGCATAGGACCACAAAAACCAAGAATATTATTTATTGTATCCAGTTACAGCTACTTATAACAAAAGTTTATTTCAAAAGTGAAATATACACACACACACACATATGTATATATATTTCATCATATGTGATGGAGTGGAATCTCATATTTTATTTTAGTAAATTAGTAACAAATTATTTCTAAATGTACATAAAAGTTAACCGGGGGCTATGGGGCTATGTATCACTGAATGATGATGTAGCAAAATTTAAAAGTAGGATGTCCATAGTATCTAAACTAGTTTTTTGGTTTTTTGTTTTTCTTTTTTTAATTTACATTCTAAATTAAATAGGATTTGCAATTTTACTCTTAATCCATTTAGTTGCTATGCCTGGCGATGAAGCCTTACATCAACCAGAGCTTTGTTTACTGAGATGAAGCAAAATAAAATCTGAAAGAGAAAAGTCTAAACCAGGAGTTCCCAATATTCTGAGTACGAAAACTTTTTTAAATGTCTCACAATTTTCACTCACCATGTTCTTTGATTTTTATCATTTTACAATTCAGGTGCTATTTTTGGAGCCCTGCAGGACATACTGGGGAGTCGTTCCATTTCAAAGGAGTATTATAATCAGACAGGCCGAATTCCTGACTGGTGCTCACTCAATAACCCCCCTATGGAAATGATGTTTGATGTGGGTAAAGCTCCACCCCCACTGATGAAGAGAGCATTTTCCACTGAAAAATAAAAGCCTGAATGAAATGCAGCTGCACTTGACTCAAGAAAAGATTCAATTATACATAGAATAGATCATCACAACTCAATTACAAATGTGTTGCACAGAGTATATAGGATATTGTGTTATAGTTAACTTAAATGTAAGTGAAAGCAAATCTCTGTTTCCTTTTCTGGCCTTTTTGTTTTTCTTAAGGAGCTTCAGTAGGTGACCCTTGTGAGATTTGCTGTATTTATATAAACAGTATATACAAAGTAGTTTAATTTTGGAAGTTTGTTAGGAAGTCTATTACAAGAAAAGGGTAACAGTTTTTTTCTCCCTGCAGTTTTTAACACCCATTCCAGCCTTTGGAGAGTCTATTGAAAATGTCATAATATTTTATGTTTATTCATTTGAATATTGAACAATGTTAAACATAACTAGTTATTTCAAATATTAAAGTGTATATACAAAAAAGTTTTATCACCAGAAATTATGAGTTTTTTCACAATTTGGGCAGTGGGCAGCGTCTGTTAATATATATTAAAGCAAATAGATTTTTAGGTAAATTAAAACATCTTTGACCCTTCTGGCTAAAACTATTATCTTAAATATAAGGTAACATTTCTTGAGCACCTATTGTATATAAAATATGAAAAATCTCAAGCATTAATTTCACAATGAAGAATAGTAGTAACAAATAGCCATCTTGCTGTATCATAGTATAGGGTCTTCCTGAATTAGTATGACAAAAAAAAAAAAGCAGCCTTCGGTGAGAAGACTTTCTGAATTTAGTCTAGTCCTCAAAAGAAGGTACATATTATATGTTGCCAGGCCCCTACCCTAAGCCTCCAGCTTGCCAGATCTCACATGAGTCACCTAGTCTTGATACACCCAGGGTTACCTATATGACAGGATGAAGAAACAGAGGCAGTTTTTAATGGAGCACATATTTATATTTTTTTTGCCAGACCCCAATGTTTAAAAGGATTTTTGTTGATCATTTCATCAATCCTGCACTTTGTATACCAAATATTCCTTTTCATACTTCCTTAAATATGTGCTTAGCGTCATAATTTTTAAGTATAGACAATCTTGCTGAAATTTATGCTTGTTTTATCTTTATTTGATCTTCTCTGAAGATAAGGACTACACTTTTTACATACCTCTTATTCTAATTTGTGTCATAATTATTTTGCATCCCTTGATTCCCCTACAAAATTGGCAACCTCTTAAAACAAAGTTCTACACCTTATTTTCTTTTTCTTCTTTTTCCAGTTTCACTGTTCAGCTGAAACCACTTTCTCCAAAGTTAACAATGATCAAGATCTTCACTGCTAAATCTAAAAACTAATCTCAAAATCTCAGTCTTCATCCCCTTGACATCTCTGCAGCATTTGATGCTGTCCATCATCTTTGCCTTCTGGACACTTTCCCCTCTCAAGATTTTCGTGGTGCTGCTGTCTCCTATTTCTCTCTCTCCTTTCGTGGTTCTTCTTTTGTGTCATTAACCATAGATATCTCCCAGTGCCCTGGCTTGCACCCTTTTCTCTTTTGGCTCTAGACTTATCTCACCTGGTCTCTCATTGGCCCCTGTGAGTTCAGTCATTTGTATGCAGATGATTCCCAGATCTCTCCATCCAGTCCTAGTCTGTCCACTGAATTGCAGTCACATCTCCAAGTGCCTTTGTTGTGGTTGTTATCATAGGGGCATTTTATCTAGACAACTGAAAACAATTCATTATTTAGAAACAGTGAAAGAGAAATCAAGTTAAATACTTTATTCCATACTCCCTTCTTTACAGCTAAAGCAAAAGACTTTCTGTTTTCAGGATAAAGAAATGAAGTAGGCCATTTACATTTTTCTCCATAATAAAGGCTAAAAAATATAATTGCAATGAGAGAAATTGGATTTAGAGTTGCACGTGTTCATTCAAGAAGGCAGTAAAATAGTGGATGAAATGAGCACAACTCTATCTGCTGTTATACACACACACACACACATATGTACACATGTACATATACACACATATGTGCATACACATATATTCTCAGTTTTCACTTAAAGCTAGTCCAGATAGTAGAGCTAACTTTCACATTCCCCATCAGATGATGCCTATGTTTGCCTTACATAGAGATTAACTCAAAAAGGGCTTATGCTAATTACTGCTTATTTGTTTTAGTCCATATGTTGCATAACATCTGTGGTATACAACAGATGCTCAAGCCTTAACTTTAGGAGTTGAATATTTAGAAGCCATCTGAGTTTTCTAAGCCAAGATCTTCCAGCACTTCTGTTGTCTCTGGAAATGAAATCTCCAAAGGACACGTGTTTTTCCCTACTATAGTCTGCCATGGTCTCCATTTCCCATCCTCAGAGCATAGAGTTCTCCAACAGCACTAAATCTCAAAGAAGGACCAAAGTGTCCTTTGTCAGAGCTTCACTATCATAATCATGTTTATAAAGCTTAAAATCTTCACTATGTGCAACAAATTCTATAAGTGAAAAGATACAGAATGGATTGGAGCAGGAGCTTCAAAGGATTTAATTGACTCCAGATTTACTACATTATTAACAGCTATATATCTCCCATATGTAATTACCAGAATCTCTCCTTCAGGAATATATTCCATGCTGCTAACTGACATAGTAAAATTAAGAGACTTCACTTCTGTCCACTATCCCAGAGGTAGACAGTTTTTATCACTAGCTGAAACAATCTATCTTCTGTACCACAAAGCTTTTTAATACCAGAGATGTGACAACCAATTAGGTCCTGCTTTCAGGTTTGTTCAAATCATGTGCATAAGAGTTTATAGCCTGTCCACTTGTCAATAGGCAGGTGTTATCCTAGGTGAAACCCACACTTAACAATGTATTTATGAGCCAAGGTCATCAGTTCATCTTGAAACAGCATCCCACTGTTTGCCTATAAAATCTGAAGCTGCCGTAGCAACTTTTGGAGCATCTCTCTTCAAATGTTACAACCCATACAGCACCCTTATGACCCCAAAATGTCCCACTGCAGTCTCCTGTATTTCCTTGGTGCCACATAGGTTTGCCATCTTTGCAGGCACTGCTTAGGAAATAGTTACAGGGCATGATGCCATAAAGTCCAAATGCACCACAGGCCACATGTGCTCTGTGCAAGTAATTGGGCTCTGCCTGTGCCATGGGGTTGTTGATGACCTCCTGCAGCTGCTCCTGCTCCTTCTGGGCAGCAGCTTGGGCCACTCCAAGAAGCCCTGGTCCTTGCACCAGGACTGGACAGAGAGGAAGGGCAGGGAGCTGGCCAATTGGCAGTGCTGAAGGAGCATCCTTCATCAAGGTCTCCAGTTATGGTAGGGAGGGAAGGCAAGAGGAAGAAAAGGAATAGGGTGGCACCTCGCCAAGCCCAGGACCAGGATCATCCACAACAGTGCTGAGAGGAAGTGACCTCCAACTACCCTTTGAATATTAAACCGAATATCCCATAGGCATTTCAAGCCTGACATATCCAGTCAGAACTCATCCCAAATTCCCTATTCCTATTCCTTCTCTATTACTATACCTTTTCCCAGACCTGCAACTTCAGTGTCTCCCTTGGCTTACCACTCTTATCCCACACATCCAATCCATTGTCAAATCTCATCATTTCTACCTTCACATCATTTCTCAGATATATAGATAGATAGATAGATAGATAGATAGATAGATAGATAGATAGATAGATAGATAGATAGATAGATAGATATAGATATCGATATATAGATATATATCGATATCGATAGATAGATAGATAGATAGATAGATAGATAGATAGATAGATAGATAGATAGATAGATAGATAGATAGATATACACCCTCCTCTCCACTCATATAGCCTAATTCAGGCCCTCCTTACCTCTTACATAGACCACTGAAATAGCCTTCTACCTCATTTCCCTTCCTCAAGTCTCTCCCACTCCAATCCATCTGCTGCCAGGGTGGTCTTTCTAAATGCATGTCATCCTGTTCAATGAACTCTAATGGTGCTCTCTTACCTCCAGAATCCAATATTAAGATCTCTTTTTGATATTTAAAGCTATTTATAACCTGACTTCTTCTTACCTTCTATTCTCCTTCCATTCAATTTCCAATCCATTTCCTCCAACCTGGCACTCTATCTCTAATATCCATGACTTTGCACTAGCTGTCTCCCATGCCTGGAATGCTTGGCCCCCTCACCTTCACAACTCTTAGCTATTTCCTGGCTTCCTTCAAGACTCAGCTCAGATCCAACCTTCTGCAAAAGTACTTTCCTGGTCTCCCCAGTTTCTAATGCCTTTCCCTCTGAGATCACCTTCCATCTATTCTGTATATATCCTGTATCTATTTATGATTGTGTTATCTCCCCTATTTTTTACCTTTCATTGTATTCACAGCAACAGTACCTGGCACGTAGTAAGCTTTAATGAATGCTTGTGGATTACTGACTGTCTTTATATTCCCAGAGTTTAGGACAGTGTGTTGCACATTTGCTGAATGATTAAAATAAAGCCTTCCATGGGGTAGCTATGTGGCACAGTGGATAGAGCACCAGTCCTGGATTCAGGAGGACCTGAGTTCAAACCTGGCCTCAGGCACATAACACTTACTAGCTGTGTGACTCTGGGCAAGTTACTTTGCCCATTGCCTAAGCAAAAAAAATAGGGGGGCAGCTAGGTGGTGCAGTGGATAGAGCACCAGTCCTGAAGTCAGGAGGACTTGAGTTCAAATGCAGCCTCAGACATGTGACACTTACTAGCTGTGTGACCCTGGGCAAGTCACTTAACCCCAGTTGCCTAAAAGCAATAAAAAATAGAATTGAGCCTTTCTTAGGGGATCTAAATTTTGCCTCTAATCATTTCATTGAGCTCTTTTAATTTTACCCAAGTCCCTTATAAAATTCAACCAAAAATTAGCTGTAGTATTCCAACAACTCTTACTAAGCTGTGTATAGACCTTTACTTATTAGTACTTTTGTTATGTATTCCTGTTTATTACACATCATCATACCACACTTACTTTCTTTAAAATCTAATGTTGCTCATCCATATCTACGTAGTTGACTACCAGTTTTTATTCTCAAGAGTATCATTAAAGATTAGACTTTGAATTATATGCTTGGCTTAATTAACTATAAGAATGTTTCTACTTATGGGGTAAATTATCTCACATGAAACAGACAAGAAAAGGCTTTTACAGGGGAGGGGAAATGGGGGGAAAGTGAGAGGGAATGAGTGAGTCTTATTCTCATAGGATTTGGCTTAAGGAGGGAATAACATACACAATGGGGTATGGAAATCTATCTTACCCTACAGAAAAATAAGGGGAGAAGGGGACAAGAGAGGGCAGACTGGGGGAGGGGACAATCAAAAGCAAACACTTCCGAGGAAGGACAGGGTCAAAAAAGAGAATAGAATAAATGGGGGGTAGGATAGGATAAAGGGAAATATACTTAGTTTTTCACAACATAACTACCATGGAAGTGTTTTACATGACTACACATCTGTAACCTGTATCGAGATGCTTGCCTTTTCAAGGAGGGGGGGGGGAAGGGAGAAAATGTGTAACCCAAAGTTTTAAAAACACATGTTAAAAAAAATTTTTTTAAATTAATAATAAAAAAAGAATGTTTCTACTTTACATTTTCTTGGAGGAAGAGGGACCAAGGGATGCTACAGAACTGTGATTTCATCTGTTTGGGAAATTCAGCATGTCTCACTGAAGACCTCAGTTTCTCCATAATTCATAGGCTTAGTTGCCTCAGGCACTAATAAGTCAAATGTCTATGATCACCTTAAGGACAATGAAATTCAAGATGTCAGATTGATTTTCCAAGAGAAAACGTCTTGTGGGCAAGGTGTTGTTGTGACTACAAGGTGGAGAGAAAGAATTCAATACTACAGCAGAAAATTAACAAAGTTTGGCACTGTTTGTGGAGTTGTGAACTAATCATTCCGGAGAAAAATTTGAAGGTATACCCAAAGGGTTATAAAACTGTGTATGCTGTTTGACCCAGCAATACCACTACTAGGTCTGTATCCCGAAAAGATAAAAGGGAAGAGAACCTATTTGTACAAAAACATTTATAGGGGCTCTTTTTGTGGTGGCAAAGAACTGAAAATTGAGAGGATACCTATCAATTGGGGAATGGCTGAACAATTGGTGGTATATGATTGTTGTGATGGAACATTATCGTGTTATAAGAAATGAACACGTTAGTTTCAGAAAAACCTGAGAAGTCTTATATGAACTGATGCATAGTAACAGCAACATTGTAATGACAACCAACTGTGGAAGAATTAGCTACTCTAATCAATATAATGATCCAACATGATTCCAAAAGACCCAGGATAAAAAAATCTACCTCCAGAGAGAGAACTGATTAACTCTGAGTGAAAATTAAAGCATACTTTTTTCACTTTCTTTTTCTTGTTGTGTGTGTGTTTTTTCTTTAACAACATGGATAATATGAAAAAATGTTTTGCATGACTTCACGTTTAACTGACATATTGCTTGCCTTCTCAAGAGAACTTGGAACTCAAAAAAATACTAAATCTTGAAAAAAAATTTTAAATGTAATTAGGAAATTATTACCGAAATAAAAATATTTTGAAAGGAAAATTAATAAAAATTTGACACGGTGGCATGCAAAATTGTGATATATAAAGCAAGGGTTTGGGTAGGTAAGCTGAGCTAGGACCTTGTGTCCTGGCTGTCTTTTCCTGTTTGTATTTTCTTCTCTGAGCACAAACAGTGATCTTGAGATAGATATGTTCAGTTTTGGAGGCAGCTTCATGAATTTAAAGAGGTGAAGAGTACACAGAAGCACACATTGACAAATACATAAAACAATAACTCATAACTGATGACTGACTTTGATAGGCTTAGCTCTTCTCAGCAATGCAAGGATCTTGGACAACTCATGATGGACTCATGACAGAAAATGCTATCCACATCCAAAGAAAGAACTTTGGAGTCTGAATGCAGATGGAAGCAGACTATTTGCTCTCCTTTTCTTTTGTTGTTTTGGTTTGTTTCTTCTTTCTCGTGGTTCTTCCCTTTAGTGCTAATTTTTCTTTACATCATGACTAATGTAAAAATATGTTTCATATGAATGTACAAGTAGAATCTATATCAGAGTGCATACCATCTTGCGGAGGGGAGGAGAGGAAGGGGGAGAAAATTGAAAACTCAAAATCTTATGGAAGTAAATGTTGAAAACTAAAAATAATTAATTATTAAAACTAACCCATAATTACTATTACATTCTCATGGGTGGCAGGAAAGATTCCTAAAGGACTTGTGAACAGATTTCACTTTAACTTCATTGTAGTTATATTGGGCAATTCACTCAAGTCCACATTTTTGGCTGAGGGAGGGCGCATAATTCATCCTCCAGGCGCTGCTCACTTTCTCCTCTTAGAAGAATATATAGCTTCAGGAAGTATCTCCCACTGGACAATTCATACCCAGAACCTCTTGAGGACTCAGGACCTCTCTAGTTCATGAGACAGCCACCAAGGCTAAAAAGATCCATCTTTGAGGATCGCTGGTCACTTGTGTTCACTCAGGGAAAGAAATAGAAATTAGAAGAAGCCGGGAAGGACTTAGGTTTCAGTATGAGCTCATCTAGACAAACATGCTCTTCCCCTAGTGTGCTTAGGCAGCCAGAATCGCTGCTAGGATGAGAAAAGGAGAGAGAGGTTTTCCCCCCACCTTGATGGAAGTTTGTTGGAATCTCAAGCCACTCCTTCAAAAGAAAGAAAAAGAGAAAGGTCGGAGACTTCGGCCTCTCCTTTGAAGCCTACAGAGTAAGCAGTGGATGCCAAACCCTTTGGAAACTCCCTCCCCCACAAGAGATCAGGAGTCTCTGGTTGCAAGTGCCCTTTAGAAGGGGCCAGAGCGCATGTGTTTCTCAAAGTGACCCAACCTTAAAGTCCGCAGGAAGGGGCCGGGGCAGGCTGAGCTCCACGGAAAGTGCCCCAATCCTCCAGAAGCGAAGGGCTCATCCACTGCCTCCATCTCTTTGTAGTTTTGTTTGTTTGCTTATTGGCCCTACCACACTTGCCCAGGGTCACACACACAGCCGGTATACGTCCGAGACCCGGCTTTCAGCCCAGGCCTTCCTCGCTTGCTCAGACTCTCGGCTGGCTTTACGAACTCACTGCGTCTAACAGCGGAGAGCTAAGGACCCCTCCATTCAAGAACTGGCTCACACACTTCTGGCTGTGAGACCCTGGGCAAGTCACAAGCTCTCAGTGCCCTACGCAAAAAAAAAAAAAAAAAAAGGGAAATTGCAGAGAAAGTGATAATTTGCTTCGGTAGAGGGAGTTTTCTCACGCAGAAGTTTCCTGTATTTTGTATTGATTCACATTTGTCGATGTTGTTTTCCCTCAGAGAACAATACAAGGACTGTTTTGTTCTCTTCGAGCCCCTAACTTTGTACAGAAGATCTGTTGGCTTATTGTGTTTACTGCTGACCCCACGTCCGGAATTCTCACCCTCCTCTTCTCCTGCCTTCAATTCTCAGCTAAAGTTTCACCTCCTGCAAGGGGTCTTTCCCAGCCCCGCTTACTGCCAGTGCCTTCCCTCTGAGATTACTTCCAAGCCATCCTATGTATATATGTGTGTGACACACACACTCACACACACATATCATGTTTGTATGTTGTTTCTCCCGTTAGAATGTAAGCTCCTTGAGGGCAGGGATTGTTGTAGCCTTTTTTTTTTATCCCCAGCACAGTGCTTGGCATATTGTAGGCACTTAATAAATGCTTGCTGAAAGCAAAGCATTTATTAAGAGCCTGCTGTGTACAGGCACAACGTTGCTCAATGTTGAAGATACAAAGAAAAGTAAAAAACATCAATGTTTGATGGATTGACTGACACCATTCTGTTGACATGCATCCACCCTCCCAATCTCTGATCTCTCTGTTATGACAAGTTTTCTTTTGCTTCCTATTCACTTTTAAAAAGTGAAAATAGGGGAGTAAGGAAAAAGTAAAACCCACCTTAGGGAGGCAGTGTCACCTGTCAGTTCAGTGCGACTAGGGAAGGAAGGAAGGAAGGAAGGAAGGAAGGAAGGAAGGAAGGAAGGAAGGAAGGAAGGAAGGAAGAAGGAAGGAAGGAAGGAAGGAGGGAGGGAGGGAGGAGGAAGGGAGGGAGGGAGGGAGATGAGTGAGTGGATGAATGAGTAGATGAAGGAAGGAGGGAGATGAGTGAGTGGATGAATGAGTAGATGAAGGAAAGAAGGAAGGAAGGAAGGAAGGAAGGAGGGAAGGAAGGAAGGAAGGAAGGAAGGAAGGAAGGAAGGAAGGAAGGAAGGAAGGAAGGAAGGAAGGAAGGAAGGAAGGAGGGAAGGAGGGAGGAAGGAGGAAGGAAGGAAGGAAGGAAGGAAGGAAGGAAGGAAGGAGGGAAGGAGGGAGGAAGGAGGAAGGAAGGAAGGAAGGAAGGAAGGAAGGAAGGAAGGAAGGAAGGAAGGAAGGAAGGAAGGAAGGAAGGAAGGAAGGAAGGAAGGAAGGAAGGAAGGAAGGAAGGAAGGAAGGAAAAAAGGAAGGAAAAAAGGAAGGAAGGAAGGAGGTTAGTCTCCGATGTCGGTTTCCTGCGTCCCCAGACAGCTCCCGCGGGAGCTCCGGGTTTTCGAACCGCCGCCGCAACAATACGGGATTCAGCGTTCTGTTTACAAAGAGGGAGTGCCCCTATCAGCGATCGTACATAACAGTATAATTTTTCCTGGAATGAACCTTATATTCTCAAAAGGTTGGGTTTCTTTTTTCTTGTTTTATTGCGTTGTGTTTTAAATAATCGGTTTCAAGTTTTGCCAGAAAAAAAAAAAAGAGGCAGGGTGGGGTACTGTGGCTTTCGACACGCATGCGCAGAAAAACTTCCGCCCTTCCTGTTTGCAAAATGAAACTAACCTTCCAGGAACATTTTGCTTTCATCCGATTTGTTTAAATTAAACTTAACATATGGGGAATTGTGCTTTGTTTCAGTATTGTTTAGGGAATTCTTGATGTGGAAGCAACGAAAAAGCTACGCGCCCAACGTGGGGCTCGAACCCACGACCCTGGGATTAAGAGTCCCATGCTCTACCGACTGAGCTAGCCGGGCAACCCTGAAGGGTGGGCGCTTTTTTGCCTTCTTGATATGTACATGAGTCATCAACGTGTTTTAGTTTCTTTTTTCCCCCTTGTAAATTTTGTTTCTGCTTTTGAGCCAAAGTGGGTAAACCGTGCAGCTGCGCTGCAGCCGCCCGTGCCTCGCCCGCGGAATTTAAGGCTTTCTTTCCGGGCGGCGCTCGGAAGTTCGCTGGAGCACGCTTTAGCAGGCACAGAGTCGGAGCTCTGCGTAGTCTCACACTCTCTCAAGGGGAAAGGGGCCGCGCGCTGTTCAGTCACGGGAAGAGGAGCAGAGCCGGACCGCTGTGAAAGCGCGAAGCCGCGGCCAGAGGGCGGAGTAAGCGTCAGAGTGGAGAGCGGCCCCGCCTGCTCCAGACGGGCAGCACCAAACCCAAGGAAAGGGAGCCGGAGAACGGTCGAGGCGGGCTGAGGCGGCCCGGGCCAGGAGTTCAGGGAGGTTGCTTGTTCCTCTGAGAGGGCCTGTTGGAGCCGCGCTGTGCCAAAAGGGCGAGATCAGCAATGACTGTTTCATTAAATGATCTTTAAGTTCTCTGTTATTCACAAGACTAGACAAGTCATCACCTCGAGTGAACAACTGAAAACTCAACGTTAATTCACTGTGACTCATGAAAGTCCGTAAGCATCTGTGATGGGCACAGCCTGGCCACTGGTAGTAAAAAGATGAAATAGAAGGGCGTGTGCGCGAAGGCGCTTACCCGGTCCTTCACGCGGAGGTGACGTGCACCTCAAATCAGCCAGGGGGCGCAAGTGGGGCAGCGTGATGCTCCTGGAGTCCCAAGACAGCGGGCCGAATCCGGTCTCACGGCACTTTCTGGCTCCGTGACTCTGGGGAGCTCCCTTGATCGTTCTCAGCCTCAGTTTCCTCATCTGTAAAAGGGGATAACAATAGTTCCTGCCTCCCAGGGTTGTTGTAAGGTTCGAATGAGATGATGTGAGTATAATGCTAAGAGTAATCTTAAAGAGCTACATAAAAGCTATGATTATTAAAATCAATAAACATTTATTAAGCACCACTGTGCTAGGGACTGGGTTAGCTAAAAAGCTTAGGTGACATGTGGTGCCTGCTCTCGTGGAGTTTATTGTCTAGTTGGAAAATGACATATATAGAATAACTTTGCTATGTAATAATATAATAGAATGTAAGCTCCTTGAGAGCAGGCAGAACCTTTTTGGGGGTTTTTTTTATTGTCTGTATCCTCAGCAAATAGTAACACAGTAGACCCCTGAAAAAGGCTTATCAAACTTAATAAATGCTTTAGAGAGATGCAAGATAAAGTGCTTTTTTGTAAAGTGGGAAGAAGAGCTGGTGGTAGTTAGCTGCAGAGAAAACAGGAGGCGGGATTTGAGTTGGGCTTTGAAGAATGTGTAGGAGTAATTCCTAATCTGGCAAAGTGGGGGAGAAAGGACCTTCCGAGTCTAGGGAGAGCCAGGAAAGCACAGGGCCTGTGCTATCTAGGGACGAACATTAGCCCAGTCTGGCTGGAGCATGACAAACATGAGATAAAGCTGGAAAGGCACATTGGCAACAGATTAGGGTGAAAGGGGGGATGACAGGATTGCCAAGGAAAAGAATTTGAAATGTATTTGACAGGTAAGGGAGCCACTGAAGATGCTTGAGAAGAATGATGTTGCATCATTATGCAATGTTTGCATAAGGAACATTCATGTGGCATCAGTGGGAGCATAGATTTGGAGGCAGGGAGTTAACTGGAAGCCAGTGGTCCCGAGTGGTGATATTAAAGACACCTCCTAGAGTTGCTGCAATAGCAACACAGAGAGGGAGAAAAATTCCAGTGCTACTGAGTAGGTAGACTTGATCACTGGCTAAAATGAGGTGAAGGGAATGAAGGAAGCTGACAGAAATAGTGGAGTGAGGAGGAATTTAGGGAAATAAGCTTAGTTTTGCAAATTCCAATTTGCAATGCATTTGAGGAATCATGAGAATGATGTAAATCTAGAACCCAGAAGAAATGTCAGGGTTAGAGGCATTGTCCAGGAAGTCATAGGGAGGTGATAACAAGCTGGACAAATGAACAAGATTGACCAGAAGATAGAAAAGGGCAAAGGGCGGTCTCTTGGAGAATACTCACTTTAGGAGAATAGGAAGAGGGTGAAGATCTAATGAAGGAGGCATAAAAGGGGCAGTTACAGAGAGAAGAGGAAAATCAGGAAGAGGTATCTGAGGAGGAGGGGTATTCAATATACAAGAGGCGTCAGCAGAGTCAAGTGCCTTAAAGAAGAGGAAAAAAGTGAAGAACATAGAAAGGCCACTGGATTTGATAGACATTGAGTAGTGGGGGAGAGTGGAGAAGAACAGAACATGGACAGCTAAACCAGAAGGGCAGAGGAGAACCTAGAGAGAAAGACAGCATGTTTAGACGATTTTTTAAAAAAAAATTTAAAATGTTCTCTTTTCTTAATTGTGAACTTAAAAATCCACAAACATCTCAATACCCCTAGCCCTAAATACAAAGAAGAACCAGAAAGTCATGAACTATTTGTACAATTCTTTTGGAAGAATTGTATGTGCATGTGTGTGTGTGTGTGTGTGTGTGTGTGTGTAGTAGTAGCAACAAAATTGTTGTATTTGTGTCCCTTCATCCACTTATTTTTGTTTTCTCCAATGCATTTAATAAATAAATAATAGCTGGCTTTTATATAGCACCTGCCAAGTGCTGGGCACTGGGCTAAACACTTTGCAAATATTATCTCATTTGATTTTTTGTAGTGTTTTTTCAAATCTATCCCTTATCCACCAGCCTATCACCCCACCCCCACCTCCAAGTAGAAGCCCTCCTTTCTACACATAACAAACATGTATAGTCAAACAAAACAAATTAAAACATTGTTCATGTCCATTCTGTCTCTCTAGTCCTTCTGCCTGAGAATATTTGATTTACTGAATCTTACAGAATACATGCCATAAGGATATTCAAAGATTAAGGGGTTTGTGACAGAGGGCTGAAATTTAAACTTGTAGAAAAGAAATTTACCGAATCTATTTGAAAACAGTCAGTTCATGCTATGCTGCAATTTTCAGAAGTTTTCAGGGGTTTTTTTACTATATTTAACAAATGTCAATAATTCCACAACCCTGTACGTCAAAGAATTTTTTTCCCCATCAGTATTAACTATTGGGATACTACTGATTTTGTATTTTTTTCTTTAAGATTACAATGCATTTACATAGAGGTACGATTTGTTGGATTTTTGTTTATATTTATTTCATTCCAGTTTGATTTCTTTTAATTGTTACAACTTAAGTCTGTCAAACAGTAGACATTACTCATTTAATTTATGATATATTTCAGTTTAGTCAAGGTATGCTATATGTAAATATAGATTTGGTGTTCTGAAAAACAAACAAATCTCTCTGCCAAAAGATGTTTCATAAATGGTTTTTAGAAGTCACAACTGGTTACTGCTTTGGTTCAGAATTCTGAAGTCTTTCAGAGTTGTTTCTCTTTACACTATTATTGTGATAACTAACTACATTGTGCTCATTTCGTACAAATCTTTCCATATTTATTTCTTAGGGAACATTAATATTCTATTGTATTTATGTATCACAATTTAGCTATATTCCATTTGAGAGGAACTGATTTTCTTTCCATTTCTTTGCTACTATAAATATTTATGTAAGTACAGGTGCCTTCTCATTGTCCTTGGTCTCTTTGGGTGATGGGCCTAGTAGAAGTAGAGTTGAATAAAAATTTATTTATAACCTATTGACTTTGGGGGTATATTTCCAAATTATTTCCCAGAAAGTTTAAACCAATTAACAGCTCCACTAACATTGTATTACAGTGCCTATCGTGCCATGACATCTTTAAAAATGGCTATTATCAACTTTTTTCATCTTTGCCAATCTAAAAGTCTAAAGTAGAACTTTAGAGTTGTTTTAATTTACCTTTCCCTTATTATAGTAATCAAACCACACATTTTATCCTTTATA